GTGCTCTTTAAGATCTTTAATTTGAGCCATGGTGTAAATCTTTTTGCGCCCAAAGAGCGAAGTTATAACAATTTTAAACCAAACTTCGAGTCCGTTGAACGAGTTTTTAATCTGAAATTAACTAGAAACAAGTAAGAAAGTCTAAGTTCGGGCGGAGCCGAACATTAAATACCCGGCGCAATTATTAAATATATGTTTTCCACCTTTCCGAAAGCTACCGCTACACGATAAGCCGGGGTGTATAAATTTTAAGTAAATTAGCGTCCTTAAATTTCGAAATATTGCAGTTTCAAGCATTTCTGAAATATACCGTTACACAGTGTTGCGAAACCGGAATTTTTTGGAAATCATATTGCCTAAACTGTAATTTTAATTGTATCGATGAGAAACTTCTACAGATTGGTCAGAATGAAATCCCAAACAGAATGAGTGAAAAAAAAATTTACACCGAAAAAAATTGTTGGGTAAAATTTTCAACAAAAGTCAAAAAAAAATAATAATTGTTCGAAAAATTTACAAAAAAAATTTATTTTAATTGTTCTTTTATTTCTGATAAATACTCTTTGATTAGTTTTTTAAATAAACTATAGGGTGGTCCGAACAAGAATTATAAACGTCAAATTTTCATGACTTTTCGATATTTTTTGAAAAACTCTGAAATTTTATATAAAACCAAAATCTATTTCATTTCTTATTTGAAAGGTGGCAATAAAAGCTTTAATTTGATACCGGTTTGAAGTCAATAGCTTCAGTTTTAAGAGAGTTATGCTCATTTTTGTGGAGTGCTAGAATAGATGTAGAATAAAAAAAAAAAAAACCACAAAATAAAAACAATACAAATAAGCGCGCAATAACGGATTATTTCACCCACCTACCTAAACGTAAAAACAAAGGGGGAGAGAGATAGAGAGCGAAAGAGAGAGAATAAAATAGTAAAACAACAGAGAGAGAGAAAGGTACCACCACAAGCTAAAAGAAAACACTATATAAAGACGGACACACATGCGGACTAATTAGTGACAAAAAAGAAAACACTGAAGATGGCGATTAGCCGAAACCGGTCTGAAAATAATAAAAATTTGACGTGGGATGACGGAAAGTCACCCGAAAACCAATATGATTAAATTATTCAATAAGTGATTCCGAGAATTTCCGTTCTATTTCTATGGAATAAATACTGAGAGTGATATACTAAAATCGCTATAACTCCCAGGAGGGCAGGTATGGGCAGCTGAGTTTTTCACAGTTCGTTGAAAACAAATTATGTAACATTTCTATAGTGGTTTGGAACTGGGACTCTCTGGGACTTTTTAGATATTGCTTACCTAACCCAAATTTAAAGGGAAAATGGACCTTTAGTCGGGTTTTCGCTCTAAAAAAGGTGCATATGAAAATGTCTCAAACAACATTCCTTTTTTTTACAGAAGATACTTGTCCGAAGGCAGATTTTTTTTCCGAATCAATATATCTGTCACCAAAATCAAATGAGATCATTTTGAATACAGCCCTGAAATCCCCTCTTTTCGTGAAAATTTTGTATATTTGACTTCTAAAATCAATTAAAAATCAACGGGCCAACATAAAAATAAGCTTTATGTGTTTTTTGTTTACTTGGAATGTCTGTGACAAAATTGCATCATTAAAAACACTGAAAAAAATAATCGGAAAAAAGTTACTTTTCCACTAGCCGCAACACAGTGCGTTATATGAAAAGCGATCGTAATTTTAGTCCGATTTGAATAACTTTCACCGCTTTGCTTTTATGTGGCAAGCACAATAACCATACCGAGTTTGGTTCAAATTGCTAGAACGGTTAGCGAGATACATATATGTGATCATAAGTGGGCGGTGCCACGCCCATTTTCCAAAATTGTATCATAAGCGTATTTCTTGGTAAAAAATTGTTGCAACCATCAATTTTGAATAAATTAGCTTTAATATTTACTGATTTATCGAGGATGTCGTATTTTTCTAAATTACCGTTATATGGGATGTGGGCGTGGTTATTGTCCGATTTTAAAAATTTTCAGCCATTTGGTATGTTGTAGCAGGACCAACAACTGTCCCAAGTTTGGAAGAAATTGGTGCAGCGGTTACCAAGATATACACATGTAACCATAAGTAGGCGTGGCTACGCCCATTTGCCAACATTTTTTAATATTCTTATTTTTCGTCTAAAACTCTTTGTAAATGTCAATTTTGAGTGAATTATCTTCAGTAGTTACTAAAATATTGCACTTTTCGTATTTCTGAAAATTACCGTTATATGGGAGGTAGGCGTGGTTATTGTCCGATTTCGCCCATTTTCAATACCATCCGTCCTATGCCCAAAATAAGTCCACGTACCAAGTTTCGTTAAGATATCTCAATTTTTACTCGAGTTATCGTGTGCACAGACGGACGGACGGACGGACGGACAGACAGTCACCGCTTAATCGATTTCTCTTTTCATTCTGATCATTTATGTATACATTTGTCTATATCTATCTCGATTCGTTTTGCCTGTTACAAACAACCGTTATGTGAACAAAGTTATAATACCCTTGTGCACAAGTGCGCTCGGGTATAAAAAAAATGCAAAAATGTAGAATGAAGTTTCGAAGTTTAACTTCAGAATCGTTATAATTTGGCTCTCAAAGGGCCTAGAGTCTTGAATAAAACGCATTTGTTGTTCGAGTGATATAAAATTGTGTGCAATACATAATGCATTTTTCAAGTTGAAGGGTTAAATTTTTTTTTTTTTTCGTTTTTTAAGAAGTGAAATCGTATTTCTCGTCTCAAAATCTATAACATAAGTGTAATAAAACATACACAATTTTTTTTTTTTTTTAATTTTTTAAGTTCATGGAGTAATTGTGGCTCAACGGCAATATTTTTCCGTGAAAGGGAATTACATTAGCTTTCAAAACCATTTGTTTCATATCAAAATGTTGCTTCTGTCGAAAGCTCTACGATTAATTCGCATGAAGTGTTCAAAAAGCACACTGTGCGCCGTTTACCGCTGGAATTATGTAAAAAAAATTGCGATATACATTGAAATATATTGCTAGAAGAACAACTGTAAATAACTAAAAAGCAAAAAAGATATTAATGCCGTCTTAGATTACTTCAATAACTCAACTTTTTTATTTTTATTTAATTTTTTAGGCCCTCACCACTTTAATTCAACTATGAAATAAAAATGTTTAGGTTTGAAACTAAATCCAGAACGAATTAAATAGAATATAATCTGAATTAGAGAGGCGAATGCCTAACACTGACGAGATGGCATGATAAGATTAAATGATAGCTTCATGGTTTCCGATACTTTTTGGAATCTGTCTAATGGGCCGATTATACTGGCTTACAGCAAAAATGTTCTATGGATGCCACTATCAAATTCCCATGTAGAATTCCTCGGTGCTTCCGAAAATCGAGATCTTTTTTTCTATGGATAACTTTTCAAAATATTTCCAATTTACCGTTATTCAGCTTTAAAAAATAGTGGTTTCACTTAATCACGTATATCTTACGAACCAATTGAATACTCGGAAATGAAAGCAAATAAAATTCTCCATAAACCGTAAATACATCACTTTTCGATAGCCCTGATAGTTTCTGAGAAATTAATTAATCATTTCTGACACCTCTTATTTTCGATGCAAACACTCTACCTGTATTGGATACATTCCCTTGGTTAGTTATAATAGTCAGGGCTGTCATGGAATCCAATTGTTGTCGGAATTGGATTTGAAAACGACAAAAAAATTATTTTGGTGTCATGAAATCCAATGTTATCGGTTTTATGTTCGAATCGGAATTAGTGTCGATTTTAGGTGTCACAGAAATCAATAATATCGATTTTGCTATCGGAAACAAACCAAGCAGCTAACAGCTCTTGGATTTCATTTGTTTATTAGTTTTTCTTACTTCCAGTTAGACATTTTATAAAAATGTGAGTAAAAGAAGGTTTATTTTATAAAAATAATTATTAATGTATTCATATTTTTATTCATAACTAGGGGAAAGCATAAAAATGCAACTCAAAACAGCATTATCGTGGAATTTATGGAGAAATATCCAGATATTGCGAGAGGCTTTACAAAGCGGGATAAACCAACTGTTGATGCCCTTTGGCAACAGTTTAGTTGAGTCGCTGAACAGTGCAGGTCCACCACAAAAGGATACCAATGGATGGAAAAAGGTAAAGCATAATTGGTGCTATAAATTAAATCGTGCCTTAAACTTACACTGTTTTTTATATACATATGTATAGACGTGGACGGAGTAGAATAGTGACATAAAAAGAAAGCTCGCACAAAACAAAAGCGAGTCTCGAGCAACTGGTGGAGGACCCTTTTCTAAGCACCAACTAACGCAAACGGAAGAGACAATAGTGCGCATATGTGGCATTGCACAGTCTGTGGTTGGTGTGGCTGGCAATGCAGTTGGCCTCAGCGAAGATTTAGTTTGTGCAAGTGAGGATGAAATGCCATCAACATCATCGAAGCGGCCAATGTCTCCAGTCAGCAGCACTCCTAAAAGACAAAGGACAGATAGTACTGGGAAGCGTTTGAAACAATTTCTCGATGAAGACAACGAGAGAAAGCTCGAAATAAATGAAAAACGAGCTAATTAAGATTGAAAAAGAAAACGACAGTAGCCTCAGACGAGTGTATAGAGCCATAAAAAAAAGCAACGAATCTGTCGCGAATGCAGTAACTGAGCTCAAGGATGAATTTGTCCGTATTAATACAGGTGTTTTGCGAGCGATACAGGAAAAAAACGAAATAAAAGAAAAGCAACTCGAGCTCGAACTCCTAAAGTTTGATTACGAAAAACAGAAAGAAAAGTAATTTCCCTTTTAAAAAATGTCAAAAAAGTGTTGGTTGTGGTCGTTATAGTACCTAAAAATGTGCCTTATTTTATTGTTATAAATAGTTATATAAGTTTTAGAAAAATGTATTTACTTATTAAATGAATTTTTGTTTTGTTTTAATGAATATATATGCGTGTTTTTTAAATAAATAAATATGTGTTTTTTATTTTTTAATAAATAAATATTTGAATTTTTATTCAGTTGGTTTGCTATAAACTGTTGGCTATTTCATCCCTCATCCTTTTACCTTCACTTTGCAGTGTTCCGTTCGGTGGAGATTCAACATTTTCATCAGTATCATTTGATGGTAAAGTAATACTGTCGTCGTTATATTCCACGTTGTAGTTTCTGCAGATATTGTGCAGCGCACAGCAAACATTTATAATTTTCACCACTTTTTCTGGCCGATAGTGCAAGGTGATCAATAAGCAGCGAAATCGGCTTTTCAGCACTCCTATTGTTCGCTCCACAATATTTCGAGCGATGAATGGGCCAAATTGAACTTATATTCTTTGGAGTTGTAGCGTGGATCTCTGTATGGTGTTAATAAAAAAGGTTCTATGCCATATCCACAATCTCCTAACAACTTTGATGTCCGGTCAACTGACTCATACTTCTTGAGGAAATATTGTCTGGCGCTACTAACGTTCCATACGAATGAGTCATGGCTAGAGCCGGGATAGCGTGCATCGACCGCTCGAATTTTCATGTGACCATCACAAATCTAAATAAAAATGTACATACATATACATATATAAATCAGTTTTACAAGGCAATGTACGAGTAAAATGAAGATTCATTATTACTTGCAATCATGGCATTCATACTGAAATATCAATTTCGATTATAAAATAAATGTTCGTCAATACTCGGCTTGATGATTTTTATGTGTGTCCCGTCGATGCAACCAATTATTGAGGGAATTTTGTACTTTAAGAAAAAATAGTCTCTTGATCTGCGTTTTTCGGTGCCGTCCATTTCTAGTTTCACCCACTGAGGGCAAATGAACCGCTCCATAACCTTAAGCACATCATCTAAAATCGTTGACACCGTGCTTCTAGCTACACTTATGCTAGAGTCGTTCCCGACTGATCTTTGATAGGATCCTTCAGCTAAAAATCGCAACGAAGGTGCTAACTGCAGCACTGGTGGAACTTTCGAACGTGTCAAGTGCCCTTCAGTGGTGTCAAGCACCATTCGGAAAGCCTCTTTGTTTAGGCGATAATATGCTATGAAACTGCAAATACGCTATAAATATTTATAAACGCACATTAAAAAACAATCTACTTACGCTGTCTCAGGCAGCTCAAGTGGATTGCTGCAATCTCTCAAAATTTTTCTTTTAACTTTCTCGGAACTTTCTTCTTCCAATAAGAGAAATGCGACAACTGCGGATGTCATTTTGCGCTCACTTATTTTTTTTTAATTAATGAAAACAATTCAATTTTATAAAATTGTGTCAAAAAAATATACATTCAAATTATCGCCATACACACAAATGTGCAAAACAGCTGATTCGAACATCGGTTTTGGTTATGTTCGAAAAGAGCAAAACCAATCCGGTTTCATGACACCAAATGAAACCAAAATTGGTTTGTAATTCCGACAAAATGCAAAACCGACTTGGATTCCATGACAGCCCTGAGTGACACCCTTTATTACTTATGCCCACATTACCATACCTACCTGTTATACTTATATACATACATACTTTTCTGTTGTATTGCATACCAAGCTCTCTTGTATTTACTACTCTTATAATCACTCTCGCTAGTCAACATTGTATATATTGTATTAAGTATTTTTCCAACAACCACTCAATAAACGGTCTTCAAAAGGGTCACACCATCTTATTATTACACTACCTATTCAGGTGTACGTCGCGTATGAGTAACACTCTTTTCTGCTAATATTTCATACAGAAAATCCTTGCGCATTTTCATTCGACCAATCATTATTTTGTTATTTACATATATATCTATTTTCCTCATTGGTAGCTTAGTATTTTTCTAAAGGAACAGGCTTTAACACAAGAGCAAATTATTTACATAGAAACTGTTATTTTTTTCCTTTTTTCCCTGTTAAAGTTTGAATTTTTAGCGTTTTTCCATAAAAAAAAAATCTATAGATCTATAGAATGATTAATTAATTTCTCAGAAACTATCAGGGCTATCGAAAAGTAATCTATATACGGTTTATGAAGAATATTGCCGTACCTCGTATTACGATTATTTAATTGGTTCGTAAGATATAACTGATTAATTGGAACCATTATTTTTTTTAAGCAGAATAACGGTAAATTGCAAATATCTCGAAGACGTATCCATTAGGCTGGGTCGATTTTGTATGGGGGAAAATAAAAGTCATTTGACCGCATTGTAATAGTAATATTATGATGTCTTAGGTCTAAGCCAATTGTTATTGGCCAAGAAAGATTAATTTAAAACTTATCTTTAGCCCGCGCAATTGAATCAAAGTGTATAAATGTTGAAAATGAAACCTTGGCTTGAAATATCTATGGAATGCGTTATTTTTATGAACAGAACGATATATCAAATTAAGGGCTATTAAATTTAGTACCTCACGTTCATTTATCATTTTTCAATAAGTCTATACGTTTTTACGATATTAAGATAAAACTTACAAAAACTATAATTTTCCCTTATGAATTTTCAATTCTTCATTACTTCAGCAAACAAGTGAAAAATACAAAAAAGTGAGACGAGATTTATTTCAAACGTTTTAATATTTTCGGATGTTTATATAACACTAAAATGACCAGTTTTCAAGTTCGTTGTGAATGAATGTATTGTCAAAGAATAGGAATCGTTTGACAAGTTAATAGTAGTTTCAAGCATATAAGTATTTGCATACATTAACATAATACAATTAGGGTGAGAAACGCCCATTTTAAGTCTATTTATGCAGTATTGAAAATTAGTGCGGAATGGTTTCATTAGTCACCAGAGAAGCACATTTTTCGCGGTTTCTAAATTTGCCGTTGTATGAAAGTAGGGACGTGCAATAAGTGTTTAGATATACATAAATATTTTAGTTAATTCCATTATGTGAAAAAGTGTCTGTAGGTAAATGCAATAGTCTTTAACATATCCTGGGAAATCCTTTTGAGGACTCTCCAATTGGACGATATTGCTTTGCATTCAGCTTTAACGAAAAAAGTCACTCGCTGGCACAGTTTTCTGTAATCCGGTTCTTTTATTTAAAGGTTATTCATACAATTGAAGAGAATTTTTTTTTAGAAAAAAACTGGAAATCCACTTAATTTTTTCGATTTAACTTTGGTAAATGTTACTCGATCGGTACGTAATAATTATCAAATTGAAGGCGAGACTTACTGTTACTGATTTATGATAATAATATCATGAAAATATAATAGATTATAAACCGATTATTTTAAAATAAAAAAATTGTGAACAAAATTTTTTTGTCATTTTGCTATATTTGCAACTTTTAAATTGTATGCATAAACATAAGTAAACTCATTAGCGTTTCTAGAAGTTGTGCCTGTTCAGTGTTTCCATACTCATTTGCATAAACAAAATTTTTCCACGATGATGGAAAATAATGGCTATTCTATTAGAGCTACCGAAATTGTTCCTAAATTTGCGAAAATTCGCAAACTATAGCCAATATTCAAATAAGATTAGAAGCAGAAACCGAGAGTTTTCACTTGCACTTGCACATGATAGATCAACCAAGCCTACAATAACATTAAAAAAAAAAAGATTAGAATATTTGGGACCAGCGATCTAAATGCACGTCAGCAATATTAATGCTGTTCTTTACATCTTTTGAATATAGGCCAGTGCAATTATCAAGAGAACAATTAAAATTTTCTTGAAAATAGATAAGTTTGAGATTAACGGTAAGCTAAAGTGCTGCGAGAAATGACATTCGACTTTATCTTTTGCGTTAACGGATTTATTATCTAATAATATGCACAACCCTTTTTACTGGACCCAGAATTTTTAACAAGAATTGGTCTTATTCGACTAGTGTGCTGTGGGTCACTTGGCGGTCGATGCGCGGGCTCTCACAGTTAAAATAAAATACTAATATTTTGCAGGCTTGTTGTTGACTTCATGATACAATATATTTTCACTATTACCAAGGGATTTGAGAAAAATTAGATTTTCGACCCGCCCTAGTATCCATACAAAAAAAAAATTATCTCTATTTTCGGAATCAGCGAGCGATTTTACATTCAAATTGGATAGTGGCGTCTGGAAAACAAAATCCAATTTAAAATTTGTGATCCAGTGTTATTTTTAAAGTCAGCGACGCCGCCGCCACAAAGCCTGTGGGCGTAAACCTCTTATATGAATATATGTATGTGTTTAAATCAGCGTTGGGCAGAGAGAGCTTTTGCTCTGCTCGCGCCTATGCAAAATGTATAGAAAGCTTAAAAGAGCTTTGCCCGCGGCAAGACAGTGCCCATCGGTGGTTTAAATTCATATATAGGTACATATATATGTATGTATGTAGTTGTAAGTGCATACTCAAAGGTCTAAGATATGCATATAAATCACTAGAAAAAAATGCATTAAATCACAATTTTCGGCATTCACTCACACAATATATCAAAACTGATGGAAACTTTAACTTAAAGACAATATAACTCAAACTTATTTGTAAAATTCCATAAATTTCACGTTTCTCATTTTTAATGCCAAATTTTAAGCTAATAGAAAGTGATATCTTTTATCAATTTAAATAAATATACATTTTAAAATTCGTTCTGTTTTTCCACAAAAGACTGACGATTTCATATGTACTACCGATTCATACTAAATTTATGTGAAAGAATTTTCCAAATCATGGGTCTCTGCTTGTGAAAATTTGAACGTAATTTGTTTACATTTACTATTTTTTCTTTTTAAGTTTTCAGAGATGGAATCACTGAGAAATCTTGTTATTTGGCTATTTTTCTATTGTGCAGTGCAGTTTGCTTTTATCTTCGGCACTCATAGGCACGTTAATGTATGTGTATGTATATGTACATACATACCTAAGTATGCGTACATAAGTTTATCGCACACTTCTTCAAAAGAGGTATAACTTATACAAAATTTAGATAAATTTTTTGCATAAATCAATTCGTAGGATTAATTAATTATTTATTTATTAATGCAAATATTTTTTTCTTCATGATACTCATCTCTAACTAGAAAACTACTGTTTTACCATTTTGTGTCTTATTTGCATTGAATCTGTACGATTCATTAGAAAGTATTTATTCCGGGTACTACTTCTGAGTTGTGCCTCTTTTGAAGAGGGTGTGCGTTATGTATGCATATACATAGAGAGTACATATATACTAGGGCATTCAATCCCGGGATCCTGAATACCGGGATTCCGGGACCCCGGACACTTTTCCATGTCCCGAAATCCCGGGATTACAACTCCGAGATTTTTACTGATTCATTTACAGAATGAAAGATATGTTGAAAACGAAAAAAAGAATTTATATGACTTGAAACGGGAGAAATACAGAACACTAAAATTTGGATTCAAAGTGAACTTGAGTCATTTGCACTTGGAAGTGAATTTCAGGAACTGCCTGAATAACTGTACTTGTTCAAATATTTTGTGCAAGAACTGTGTAATAACGAAAAATCTGGTAGCAATTCAGAACACAACAAGCTTTTACAGTGGGGCAGAATTGTTCTTCATTTTACTTTGTTGGCCTTTTTTGGAAAAGGATTTCTGTAAATATGAGTAAATGTTTTTGACAAGTAATATATATATTTTAGAATGAAAAATACTTAAACATCAAATTACATACTCTTTTACTAAGGAACATTATGCTCCCCTAAGACCAAATGTTTTGACAATGAATCTGTGTGGTTTGAAAAAGGCGAACCTACTGTAAAATGCAAAAGGTTGTTGTGATGCCGAAATCCCGAAAAATCTCGGGATACCGGGATTAGAATTTTTACATCCCGAGATCCCGGGATTGTTAAAATGCTTCGGGATTGAATGCCCTAATATATACATATGTGTACATATGCACACGTTCCTTATAAATGTATGCTTGAATGCATGTACATAGGTATTGTACATCCATACACATATGTGGACTAATCTACATACTAGGAATGTTAATCCCGGGATCCCTGGATCCCGGACTTTTTAAGGTCTCGAAAATTTTCGATTTTCGGGATTTGTAATTTGCACTGATGGCAATAATAGAAACTCCTTTTCTTGACCAGTATTGGCTATATTTCTTTTTATACCTTTCATGAGCATGAAATGGTGTTATAACTTTGGTCCGATGTTTGTAAGTACCAGAACAAAAAGAGATAGACCCATTAAAATGTATACTTATTTGATCAGAACGTCGAGCTGAGTTGATTTATCCAGGTCCGTGTCTGTCTGTCCGTCTGTCTGTCTGT